TTACTGGGTATACACCCAAAGGATTATAAATCATGCTGCTATAAAGACACATGCACATGTATGTTTACTGCGGCACTATTCACAATAGCAAAGACATGGAATCAACCCAAATGTCCATCAGTGACAGACTGGATTAAGAAAATGTGGCACATATACACCATGGAATACTATGCAGCCATAAAAAAGGATGAGTTTGCATCCTTTGTAGGGACAAGGATGCAGCTGGAAACCATAATTCTCAGCAAACTATCACAAGAACCGAAAACCAAACACCACATGTTCTCACTCATAGGTCGGAAGTGAACAATGAGATCACTTGGACTTGGGCAGGGGAACATCACATACCAGGGCCTATTATGGAGAGGGGGGAGGAATGGCATTGGGAGTTATACCTGATGTAAATGACGAGTTGATGAGTGCTGATGAGTTGATGGGTGCAGCACACCAACACAGCACAAGTATACATATGTAACAAACCCGCACATTGTGCACATGTACCCTAGAACTTAAAGTATTAAAAAAAAAAAAAAAATTTTATTTAACCCTTGGCAGCAGAGACTAAGGAGAGGAATAAGGAATTGCAGACTCTGTAGGACTGAAATAAAGAGAAATAAAAACAACAAAAAGGGATCCAGAAGATAGGACTTAGGAAAAAAATACACACACACACACACACACACACATATATATTTGGCTAAAACAATAGGAACTTATTCTCTCATCAAGATGTCAGCAAAGATGTGCTCCCTCTGGAGGCTTTAGAAGAGAATCTATTCCTTGCCTCTTCCAGTTTCTGGTGGCTGCCAGCAAGAAAAATATTTTAAAACTATTAAAGAAAATAGAGAAAAAGACAAAGAATTTCAACAAAGCATTAAAATGTTTTAAAAGATGCAAATGGTAAAGAGTAGTTTTAAAATATGTAATTAATTAGCTTGTGAAGTTATAACAAAGTAGACATTAAGACAATAATATTTCCAGAAAAGAAAAGAAACATGTCCTAATAATAAAAGGGAAAACCAACAAGGAAGATAGAGCAATTATAAATCTGTATGCACCCAATAACATGACTGCAAACAGACATAAAGCAAATTTTGGGGAACAAAAACAATTCCAAAAATTCACAATCATATTGGGAAAATTTAACACAGCTCTCTCCAGAGATCTTAGGACAAGCAGACAAAAAAACAAATAAATCATTAAACATATAGGATATCTGGCACACATAATAAATGTGAGGAATGAATAAAAGTAAAGCACTATACCCAACAAGAGATTACATACTCTTTTTGAGTGGAAACAGAACACATACCAAAACTGACAAGATGCTGGGTGATAAAGCAAGCCTCAGTAAACTTCAAAGTATTGAGATAATTAAAAGGGTAATTTCTGATAAAAGCAGACTTAAACTGGAACTCAATAACCCAAAAATCTCCAGTTGTTTGAAAATTAAGAGATATACTAAATAAGCCAAAAGAAATCACAATGAAAATTAACATTTTTAACTGACAGTAATAAAAATGTAACATCAAAACTTATGGAATCTAGCTAAGATTGCTTACAAATTTACAGCCTTAAATTAATATATAATAACATAAGATAAATTGGAAAAAAAATCAATGACCTACATATCCATCTCAAGAAATTACAAAGGAAGCAAAACTAAAAAAAATAAATAAATTCTTAATAAGTAGATATTAATGATAAAAAACATACAATAGAGAAAATTAACAACGCTAAAAGTTGGGTCTTTGAAAAAAAAATTCATATGGCTCTTGCAAAACTGATTAAGAAAAATTAAAAAGGCACAAAAAACTCATCTGGAAAGAAAAAGGCAGCATCACTATACATCCTAAAATCATTTTTTAAAATGAATGCAGGATGAAACGGAGAACGTGACAAAACAATCTGTGTTACAAATACAGGAAAGAAGTACATTGAAGAGGGTGGAGGAAATGGTTCTAACCTAAGTAACTGTGAAAATGAGTGAAGCCTATAAAAGCAAAAAGCAAAAAAAAAAAAAATTTATAAAAATAAGCACTGCATAGTTGATAAAGTTGTTACCCATGGGGGTACAGATCAATAATTCTGATAGTGCTCTCCATGTATACTGCAACTGAACAAGTAAGTAAATGGATAACAGATAATGGGAGCTCGGTTTCTCCCTGTTGGAATATGAGATTTCAGATATACCAAGTGAGTGGGCTAGAAAACTACATATGGTAATGGACTGGAGTTGCAGACATCAGTATAAAATCATGTTTACCTTAATAGAGACACAAATGGGTATATACAAAAACATTCACAGATATGTACGCACAAGTTAGTATAAACACATTTTTTTCCTGTTTTTCAGCTAAGAAGGTCTAGAAACAACAACACACCAATAGCAACAAGCACCCATAGTGCCCACATCCTGGTTTCTAATACCACTCACTAATAAAAGCAACCAGGACTCCTTGGAAAAATCATCGATTCCAGGACAAAGGCAGGAAATACACAAAATTTCTTTCAGTGCCAGAAAGTAAGGAAATGCTCAAAAATATAAATATATCCACAATGATGGGGCCTGTCAAAACCACACAGGAGCCAACTGAAAGAGCTCTCAATGGCCAAAGCTAGAACAAATTGAACAAGAAAGTAAAATAGTATTAGATTATAACCCAAAGTATAAATAAATATCCCTGAGTCCATAGTATTTCAAATAAATGACTGAAAAAATAAATGAGAGAGAACAAAATCTGAGCAGAAAAATTCCAAATCTATTAAATACTCTGCCCTAAAGGAGATGTGAGTGTAACTGCCCACTCCTTAAGTGTGGGCTACGCATAGTGACGTCCAGAGAGCACAGTATAGTGAGAGGGAAAAAAACAGTAACTTTACAGTGCAGAAACCTGACAAATACTACCTCAACCAGGTAATCAAGATCAAAATCAACAGTGATGAGTCACAGAGATAACATGTACCCTTGATATGAAGAGAAGAATCACAGGAGAACAAAAGTCAGGATAAGATTAGCATACAGAAATATAAATACTATATCCAGCATGGCTCTAAAAAGTATGTCAAAAATTTGACTCTAAGTTTCCTAGAGGCCGAGTCAAAGAGAACATAGTCAATTACACAGTTCACATTATTCTTTAAGTGGCAGGTTGGATAGCTAGGCAAAGCACGACTTTTCTAGCATCTGAAACAATAAAACTTCTTTCATGGCTTCTCATAAAGATAGTGCTATATCATAAAATGGAAGACATCCAAAATTAAAATTCCTACTGCATTTCTTAGGGCTATTTCATACAATATCCTTTAATCCAAGTCAGTGGCATCCTCAAGAGCAACTATACAAGAGAGCAAAAGAAAGTAGTTAGGTTCTAAGATCGATGGGTAAAATTGAGAAAATACATAAAATAAGATTAGAGACTTTAAGCAGTCCATCTACAGTGAAACACTATTACATGCAATCAGGATTTTAGTAAGGTTTTAAGTTGAAATCTGAGGCTGTAATTTTTATCAAGACCAGTATTTAAATAACTTGGCTCAAGTACAGATCGTACACACTTTGACTCCTAATCAGGGAGGTGGTAAGATAAAGAAGTATTCATAAAAAATTAAGTCTACACAAAGTCACGACTGAAGGAACAGCTAACCTATCTCTGCACATAAGTGTACCAAAAGCGGTATGGCCTACTCAGTCAAATTTTAGTGGTTAAAACAAAAGGGAAAATATTGATCTATACATAAGAAGAGAACCTTTTTTTTTCTCTGCCTTCAACAAGAGAACCTTTCTAAATAAAGGCCTTTTAAGGAATATAAAGGAAAGTAGAAGGCAAAGGCAAATAAAATAATTCTTCTTTCTCTAATAATCACGTAATTAATGGCGATTTTAGACTATTTACATGGGAATAATTTGGAACTCTAAAATATGTTTAAGTCTTTAGTTTTTCTTTAGTTATCAGTAATGGTATAAAACATATTAAAGGACATATAGTCTGCACTTAAGATATGTTCCTTGTTCTCTTTCAAATGGCGATTTGACTTTCTGGTTTTTTACGTTAGTTATCAAAAGGCCAGCTCATTGAAAATAGCTAAAAAACAGATGAATAATAAGATGTTTAAACACAATAAGAAAAACTTAGTGGTGAACAATTGCACATTCCTTTCATATTGTACCTAAGTTAGCCCTTGATTTATCTTAGTAATAGAGCAACCTAAATGGAAATAACAAATGAATACTAAAATACTATTGATACTGGTTAAGAAGTGATAAGAACTAAATTGACATATCTTTACTGCTGCTTTAGCTCAAAGTAGAAAAGTTATAATACACCTAATAATAAATGTAATGTTTCAAAGTATCCACACTAAGAAGGAAGCTAAATTCAGAAACTGAACAGCAAGTAAATCATCACATACTTTTTCCAGGTGGTATGTGGATTAAGTTTTAACAACCTTCTTACATGTCTACTGAACTTAAGTTTCTTTATGCATCAGTTTTTTTAAAAAAAATCTTTTTTTTCAAAGAAAGCTAGATGATTCTTCCAAACCCTAGTTGCTAAAATTTACTACTCAAATTACAAAAGCACTTATAATGTTATATATGTGTAAATTTAGACATGCCAAATTGTATATTAACCAAAATAACTACAATTATTTCAAAAATACTGCAATTTTTCCAGTCTCTATCATGTGTCCAAGCACTACTCTTCAAATATGGAAAATTTAGAATACAGTTGTATGTTCAGTGAAAGTATCTATTACGGTAACATCTTACTGTGTACATAAAAATGTCATTTTCTCCAAATTATATTTAGCATTTTACTTTGTAAGTCAATTTTTTATGATGATATTCCTCTCTTTAATTCACAGCAACAATAAGGATCAAATACTCTAGTTACAATGAAACACTTTGACTAAAATCAGGTATAAATTGCTAAAACTAGAAATATATTCAGTTAAAATGTATAAAACAAAGACATTTAAAATATATTTTAAAACAGACATACCTATCCCAACCAAGAGTTCCTATCTCTTCAATAATGCTTGAGTAGAACTGGGGAGGAGGAGGTGGTGCATATAGCTCTTGTCTATTCTTTAAGGCAACTTCCTGTTTAAAAGAAGAAAACCTGAATTGGCTGTGGAATGCAAGACAATGAACTGTTAATACCTGATTGCAAAACATAATTTCATTATCTTCTTAGTGCCTAATAAAAGTATCCATTGTTTTATGGAAAATCTGGCTGACTCATTCCCCTGCTCATGAAAAAGAAACAAGAAAAAGTTAAAAGGACTGTACTGAAGGTCATGCAAAATGTCAATTTTTATGCCATGAAAAGAACTTATGATTTTAATATTTTCCTGGACTATTATGCCTACTGGAGATTTAAAAAAAAAAAAAAAACTTTTTATTACATTCATCCTCAAGGCTTCACTATCTCTCTACTCCCATGAATATGATGTTTGATATATACGTTTTTCAAAAAGTACCTCTAAAGAAAGGCCTGAACTCTAAGTACATTACCTAAACTAACATATTTGTACACCATTATGAACCACATCTTAACAAACAAAAACCCCTCATTATCAGAACAAATATCTACATGCTAATTTCTTTTACTGACTTACACTCTGTACTATTCTTCAACCAGGTAAGTTGGAGTACTATGCCATCCATCTGGCTAGATTACAGTCCCGTTCCTTGCTAGGCCTATCTACGATGGCTTTACAATGTTTATGTTCTCCCAACCAAAACTAAATTCTTTTACAAGATATATAAAAGCATCACTAGAATTGCTGAAGCTAAAATTACCATTATTTCGAAGTTACTAACCTAGACAAACAGCTTATATGGAAAGTAAAAATAAATATATCTACAAAATACTTAGATGTTCATATGGTCTGAAGTATCAAACCGTATTACAAAAAGTAAGTAAATAAATAATTAAATAAATAAATAAGCCACAATAAATCACGGAAGTAGATAGGGACAAGTTGAAAATTATAAACACTTCTGACAAATATAATCCTAATAAAAGGTTGCAATTTTTATTCTTTTAAGTATATGTTTAATCTTATTTTTTAAGTATATTTTAATTTTTTTAACAAGGATAGGATACTATTAAATTGAGATCATATTAAAAAGAATATATACTACGAAACAGCACTTCAAAATCAAAACTATTAACTGGAACTACTTCAATTTAGTTCTGAATCTGCTTTATGATGAAAACAAAACTGTGAAAGCAGACTCATATAGCTGAGAATATCAATATGGATTTAATTAGAGGGTAAGCTCCTAGAAGACAAGGTATATGCTGCCTTTTTTATAATATAAATGCTTAATGTTGCCTAAAAATAGACTGATGGTCCACCAAAATAAATTCGTATTTAGGTTGTACACCAACCTAATACTATGAAGATTGTGCTCTACTAGTTACTAAATAAAATGCGTTAATGTAGTATAGTACTTCTTTCGAAATTTGTTTTTATTCTGAAATATTAATTATTGCTCTCCACAAAAATTGAAGGTAAAAATAAACCTGGATAATAGTAAAAACGTTTTTCAATCCTAGGTTTATGACATTTATACACTCTACCTTCTATTCTGAGTCAGACAAGTTACTCCTACTCTAGTACCATAACAGGTAAAGAGGCAAAAGCAGAGAAGCAACACATTCTTCACAGAAAAGAGGGAAAGGTACATAGCAGAAAGGCTTCACAAACAGAAGTTTTAAATCCTGACTTTAACAATTCCTATTTTGAGGCCTTAGGGTTCAGTGGCTCAGCTCCAAAATAGAAATAAAATAACCTACCACATAGGATTATTTTAAAATATAGGTAATTGTTCACTTATTAAATATATACTGAACTCCCACTATATGCAGTTATTACTAGGCAACTCCATGGAAGATTTACAACATTTCCTGAAAAAGTTCAATAACTACTGATTTCATGTGAGCATCACTCTCAACATATTTATTGGTGATTATAGTATAGGAACCCTATTACTAACAATACAGCCTAACAGTACACTAATAATTCTTTTATTTTTAGGTATACTATCTTAAATGAGCAATAAGATCACCAACTTTGTCCATAATTTCTGAAGAAAGCTAAAATACAGGATTTCATTTTTATTCAGAAATGGAATAAATGTACTAAATAGATACTGTAAATCAGAGATCTCAAAATTTTATTTTAGTTTTAAACTAGTAAGTGTTTGTTCAAAATTAAATGGCCAAGAGAGCTGTGACTTACAATGTATAAAGTTATTTTTGATAAGAAGAGTTTAATGGGACATGATACCTACACTTTTACTCTGGTTCCCTTAGTCTCTCCTTGTATTTGTATGGTTTATTAAAATTATAATAAAAAGATAAATGTTTCAAACTTTTCTCCAATGTCAAGGAGATGTAAACCAAATATGCTTCACTTGTTCACTTTACGTTTTTAGGGTTATTACATTAAGCCCTTTGATGTAATTTGTAATCAATTTTTGATAACCCTTATTAATTAGGATTTATAAACTCATAAATCAAAATTCAAACTTTAGAAATTAATTTTAAACTATTATTCTAATCCCACACATTTAATCAAAGTCCTACCTTAAAAGGTTCTTATTAGCATTGAAAAGGGACTTAAGAAAAAAATCTAGCAACTAAGTTATCAATATGTAGTAGTTGCTACTAAGAACAAAATGGTCTCAACAAGAATTACAAAGAAATATCAAAATTTTCCATTGTTAGCAATATTAGTATTGTAATTTTTATATAAACTAACATAAACATGTAGACAGGAAAAGCATAAGTGAAATATAACAAGTAGAACATAACAAAAAAACCATACTACAATGATGTTAACATTAGAAAACAGCATTTTCAGAGTAAAAGTGATATAAGCAAAGAAGTAAAAACCCTATAATGCCCATTTGAATTGTAAATATCAATACAAACTCATAATCACATTCTTTCCAAAAAGCATTTTTTTCTAGCTTTGTCCACTGAAAAAAACCTAGAGGTAACAGCAATAAACACTCAAATTTCCAGATTGAGGCATTCAAATACTATTTCCTACAAAGAAATCATGATTCTTTGGAGAAATGGCTGATTACAGTTATGGGATAAAATGAATAAATGAGCCTGGAGCAACTGGTATCAGAAGGCAAAGAAGCTTGGGTTATATTAAAAGAACTCAGGAGCCAACATGAAGGGGCTTGTACTGACCAAAAAATGGGACAATTTAAGCATCAAAAAGAAAATGACTACGATAAATAAAAATTAACTAAATATATAAAAATCTATGAGTTCATAAAGATACTTAAAAAAAATCACTTTAGATCTCTGTGACAGTTGCTAGGCACCAACTCATTATTCTAAAAATTGGTTTCTGTTTTAAAAGGAAAAGAAACAAGCACTTATCCAGTCTCTCCATTATGAGCTGTACCTCAAATTAACCAAACAACTGATGAGAAGTTCTCTACAGAAGATTTTCAACTAAGAAATGCAGATGATGGAATTTTTTAAATTACCATTTGTAAATCCTAATGAAACATTAGATATAGGCAATGATTATTATTAGAGGCTAAAATCATTAGGTGATAAGCTGATGGGGAACTTTATACTGAATGGATTTAAACGTATTGATCAATCTTAAATTTATTAAAAGAGGAACCAAGGAACCATCAGACATCACTTGCATCCTCATGTAATATAATAAATACAGAGCACCAAGTAATCTCGTAAGAACAAATGAATCCGAATCTGCTGAAGCCTCTAGATCTAAATGCCAGATTACAAAGAAAGTAGAGTATGTTAAAAGATAAACCAGGAATATCTTACAAACCAGATCCAGAATGTAGAAGATTTTACAGGACACCTAATTTGTTTTATTCAACAAATATATGGCATGAATAAAAAGGGTGAGGTAAAGAGGAGATGCTGTTATACATAAGTACCTTGTAAGTCTTATATAAGGCTTAAGAGACATATTAACTAAATATAATGTGTGGACCTTGTTTGCATACTAATACAAACAAAGCAGCTATAAGAAATATTAACTTTGTTGAGGTTATAACAGTATATTTAAAAACAGATAAAAAGCACTTAGCTGTTAAAGAGATACACACTGACCTATTTACAGAGGGATACAATGTCCAGAATTTCCTTTAAAATATTACAGTGTCTTTCTTCTAAAAAAGTAGAAGAGGAACTATGACTGGCAAAATGTTAAAATTTGGTCAGGCCTAGCAGTATTTACTATAATCTTCCCTCTTCTTTTGTTTATGTTGAAAATTGGGTAATAAAATGAACTTGGGTTTTAAGAAAAATGTCTACAGGATAAACTAAATAATCAAGTATTTTATACAATGCTGATTAAACAGTATATATGTAACAGTACACATAAAGTGAAACCTAATACGTTTTTTCAGATATCTGTAGCTATAGACAAAACTATTTATACATCATAGTATATCTTTAAGTAGGACTACCAAATCTCTTCTTAGATGTTAAACTCCCTGCTGACAGGCCAGGAGTGCATTTTATTTCTTCACCACCTGCCCAAAACTAGTGTCAAGAATACCTAGTTTATGATACAATCAAAGTGGTTCCTTCACAAAGTTATGTCCCTCATGCAGTTCAAGAAATGCATCACCTATATTTATGTACACAGTAAAAGAAAACATTAAATGACTGGGAGTTAAGAAGACAAATTCTAATAATGTCAGTATTTAAAGGAGTTACAGAAAAGAAATAAAGATTTCCAGTATGGTAACAGCGTCAGAAAAAAAAAATTCTTACCAAAAGCATCTTCAACTCCATCATAAAGCTCATTAGATCAGGAGACTGCTGCATCCTCTAGATCAAAACATTTCCAATTAATTTCATTTGCACAATAAATATTCCATCCACTAAAACTGTAATAAAATGTAGGCCCAAGTGAAGTTAAAAAAAGATTAGCTATATCTACATCTGAAAAGTATAAGTAGTATTGGTCATCAACCTTACTACTCCTATCAATTTCATTTTGAAAGAGTAATTAATGTCCTCAAATCTACTTTGTTGAGATATATTAAACTGTGTTAGAATGTCACTTAAAACCTCACACTACTCTGTTTCTTGAGCACTGTATACTACTGAATCCCTTGTCCCCCTTGCAGGGCATGCGATGGGAGTCTGGCTTGCTTCTTCAGTGCCCTGTTGCTCAAACCTCTAGGGAAACATACAGGCAGGCTGTGGGGCTCCAACCCCACAGCAGTGTCTAGGCGTGAATGTTTACAGCTACTTAAACTCCAGTGGGTGTGTGTTACAAGGTGCTCTTTTAGTTTAGCCATCCATTGGCAGCTTGTGTTAGCCAGCTCAATTAGACCCCTGCCTTATTGCAAGGACAGAGAACTTTCTGTATCCCAGGGTTCCTGCCTTGATGTACTGCAAGAATTGGATCACGTGTGGGCTTGGAGAATGACTGCAAGATTTTATTGAGTGGAAGTAGCTCTTAGCAGATGTGGGAGCCAGAAGGGAAATGGTTTTCCCCTGGAGTCGGGCTGTTCAGTGGCCCAGGCTCTCCTACAACCACCCCAGCCAAACTCCACGTCATTCTGCTGGTGAATGGCCTGCCGGCCTGCTGGAGCCTATTGGTGTGCTCTTGACATGATCTCGATGTCCTCTCGATGTCCGGACACTTGTGTGTTCCTCCACTGATATATTTCTCTCGATGTCCAGCCGCTTGTGTGTGTGTGCCTGCTAGGGTCTCGGGTTTTTATAGGCACAAGATGGGGGTATGGCAGGCCATGGTGGTCTTGGGAAATGCAACATTTGAGCGTGAAGGCAGGGGTGCCTGTCCTCACCTAGGACCATGGGCACAGGCCCGGGGGTGGAGCCCTCACCAAGGACCCATCCTTCTCTACCCAGCACTTCTCTGCCGCCCTTCTGTATCACTACCATGTCTAGCAAATCTAGCAACCTAATCATAACTTTTTTAAAGAAGAGGAGAAAGAGGAGGAGGAGGAGGAAGAGAAAAAAAAGAGAAAGAAGAGGTATAGGAGTGATGTGAGTGGGAAGAGTATAAAATATAAAAATCAGGCAACTCTATATAATTTTTAAAATCTAGTTAGAGCAATAAATTAACAATTATTAATTAACAATACGGTCTTTTTTTATTTTTCCCTTGACCTTAAAGATTACCTACAATTGTGATTTTTGTCCTCTCACAACTAATCCGTATTAGTCAAAACAGAGACAGTCATTCACTAAAGTAAAACCTGTTATAATAAAATGGCAAAAAGGAAATAATCTCTAAAGTAGAATAAATATTTAAGAGTTACGATTCCATTTCCTAGAAATCCTTCATTCTTAAAATAACTACAGAAAAAAATATTCTCAAGTTTTACACTATTTTCAACAATGCATGAACACATTATGATTCACATCTTAACTCAGCTTTGAGTGGGTCTATGTAGAGCAAATTCTTGACTATCCCTTCTTCTACATTGTATTCCCCCCCGCCCCGCTTAGTTTATTACAGATGATCAATAAATGACAGGGTCTGGAAAGGTCTGGAAACTAAAGCCCAGAGGTCAAATCCAGCTCAATACTGTTTTTGTAAACAAAGTTTTATTGGCATGTAGCCATACCCATTCACTTACCTCTTGTCTATGGTTGCTATAAGGGCAGAGTTGAGTAGTTGCAACAGAGATCTTACGGCCTACTAAGCCGGAAAAATTTATTATCTGGTTCTTTTTTTCTTTTTTTTTTTTGAGGCGGAGTCTCGCTCTGTGGCCCAGGCTGGAGTGCAGTGGCCAGATCTCAGCTCACTGCAAGCTCCGTCTCCCGGATTTACGCCATTCTCCTGCCTCAGCCTCCCGAGTAGCTGGGACTACAGGCGCCGCCACCACGCCCGGCTAGTTTTTTGTATTTTTTAGTAGAGACGGGGTTTCACCGGGTTAGCCAGGATGGTCTCGATCTCCTGACCTCGTGATCCGCCCGTCTCGGCCTCCCAAAGTGCTGGGATTACAGGCTTGAGCCACCGCGCCCGGCTAGAGTACTAGATCTTAATATTAGACTACATAAACCATTTTTTCCTATGCTATCTCAATATATCAATAGATACATTTCTTAAAGTTTAGTGTAAAAAAAAAAGTAAAGGGGATGGAGGCAGGGATAGAAAGAAAACAGACAAATAATTTGAACATATCCTTAAAAAACTTCTGTAATTATATTGCCAGGATGACAACCTTCATTCTACAAATCAAATAGTTTATCTCCTATACTTCTTTGCAGTTTTAATGCTTTATGGGAGAGTGACTGTGACTATCAGTTATCATAGATAACCTGCCTTTAAGACACAGAAATATAGAAAATCAGGAAAAAAAAACACATAAACGCATAAAGGATCAAAAGAAACGCAATTCTAATAACTATTTTCCTAAAAGAAGAATTGTATTATGTCATTATTTTGCTTCAGTAACTGATATTTTTTCTACTCTTTAAAGGAATTTTCAGGTAGAGGAACCTAAACATTAAGAATAAAGAAATTAATCCTGCCTATTAACACACTAAGCAACCTTAATCTCCCCTCATTATGCAAGTACACATGATCCTAAATTATTTCTACTACATCTTTTCTGTTGCTAATCTAGGACTAAAATCCCATTTTTGCCACAGATATCCCACAGCTCTAAATGGGTCTGATTTTTTTTTTTTTCCCCTATCACCACCATTCAGTCTCAGAAGAAAAATCACTCAAGTAGTGATGGATACGGATAAGGGTGAATTCATTTGAAGAACCTAAAGTCTCAAGGATGGAAATCGGTTTCAACACAAAGGCTACCTGGAGATCTCCTGAGGACACTGAGATTTAAAAACACACAGAGATGAAACCTACAAAACTCAACAACTATTAAACCAGTTTGTTACCACATTCTACAAAGTAGGTCTTTGAAGAACAATAAATTTAGTAATTTCTTATCTTCACTTAAAATATAAACCTTCTAAAAAGGACTTACCTGCTGTACTATTTGATGGTATCCATTAAGTATTGTTCTCAGCTGCCAACTACATAATAATCTAAAATTTTAATGAGACAAAATGGTTTGTTCATTGTTCAGAATTAAAAGGAAAACCGTATTTGTATGTTAACACAAATATGCATGTACATACAAAAGAAGGACAAATATAATTTTGACAAGTTAATAAAATTTTTACCATTGATACTGTTCAAAGTCTTGTCTTCAAACTGTCAGTACTAATTTTATTCCAAAATATAAATAACTGCAATCAGTAAATGACAGGCAAACAGTACATCCTGTTTTTTAACTTTAACACACCCCAAGCAAAGTTTTCCACTGAAGTAGATTCTTTTCCAAGATAGGTTAAATAAAACCAACAGTTTTGATAACAATGTATCATCCAATATAATGTATCAAACATGTATTTGAAAAAGCATGTGTAGCAGTATTACCTTCAAATTCCTGATTAATATAACTTAAATGATACATTTTATTTTTATTTTTTATTTTTTAGAGACAGGGTCTCACTCTGTCAGGCAGGCTAGCTGAAGTGCAGTAGAAGAACAGCTCACTGCAACCTGAACTCCTGGGTTCAAGAAACCCTCCCACCTTAGCCTCTCAAGTAGCTGGGACTACAGACACCCACCACCAAGCCGGGCTATAAAGATACAAACTTTTAATTAATTGTATAAGAAGTGATAAGTTAATGTTCATCCATTTACTGGCTAACCTCTGCTGTGCTCCTGATACTATTAAGTAACTCTTCTTCTAAGGAATTACTTTTACTTACCTACAAGTAGGAAGCCTCTCTGAGTTTTCCCCAACATGGCCTTTTCAAACCAGCACAACTCTCTCCATTCTTGGTAGTTCATTCAAATGTCCATTGGTAACCCCTGCACGAAATGTGCTTTCTCTCCCTTGCTATCAACTTGGTGACTTCAATTAATTATCCCTTTATTGTGGTATCCTTAATTTATGTTCTGCTAGTTTTTTCTACTTAATGAATTAACTTGTTCAAATACATGTATCTTTAAAGAACACTGTAACTCCTCCTTGAATGCATACCATTCTCTAACCACCTCTTTTCTTCAAAATACTTTATACTTTCCTCCCACTCATCCAGTCCAAAATCCAACACAAATGGCTTCTGTCACCACACAAAACTTACTTGCATCTAACCTATCTCTCTGCAGTCCTCAGCAATGCTAACCATGCCTTGCTTAAGCCTTCTTTATTTGGCTTGAAAGACTCTGCTGTCCAAATTTTCCTCTTTTCTGGTCAATCCTTAGTCTCCTTCTAAGTTCCTCTTTAGTGACCAGTACTGTAAATGTTGGTATGCCCCAAGGTCTCGTCACTGGCTTTCTCTTCTACGACCCCCACCAAAACTCCCCGCCAGACACAGCACCAAAAAGCCTATTCATAATCAAGGTCCCAAATCCTTCATCTCTTGTAACTTCCACATACATCTGCACTCCAGGTCTCATACTCTAGTTCCACACGACCATATTACTACCTCCTAAATAGCTCCTCTTGATATTTCACACCCAGTATGACTTAAAACAATCTCTCTTCTACTTTTCCATCTGTGACCTCTTCTCTAGCTTAGTGATCTGAGCCAGGAATTTGAAAAGCATCCTCTATTCCTTTTTCCCTCTTACCTACACTTCTAGTGGTCACAAAATCCTCTCAATTCTACTCACAAATATCTCTGGATTCCTTTCCCTCCATTCTTCTTCAGAAATATTTAGAGGAAGAATTGAGATTTGGGGTGGTACCTAAATTTTCAGTCTCATATCCTGACTAGTTGTATCTACCAACACCCAATGTTGGTGCCTAATTTATGCCAGGACTGAACTGATGTGAGTCTTCCCATATACTGAATATACACATTAATAATATCAGTCAAAAGTTGGAAAAAATGTTTTCTAATCCTTTTGTACTCTCCCTTTATATACTTGCTCAGTATTTGTTTGGGAAGTATACACAGTGGCTGTTTACTGCTTTAAATTAAAAAAAAAAAAAATGAGAGAACTAATGTTTAAAAGCACTTTAGTAACAGGTAAATATTTACAAATGCCACATTGGTTTGGAAAAATCAGAGATGTTTCTTTTGGGGCAAATGACTAATAAGCATTTTAGGCAAAACTCTAGTCACCAGAATCAATTTATACCAAATGTACTGCCTGTACCACCAAAATGCAAAAATGCACGTTTATAACTAAACACCGTATCACCTTGCATTCTTCAGTTGTAAATCTTCAGGCAACACTACTTTAAGGTGGAAGTCTCTTCCCTGTGGAAAATATTGAAAAGGATCACTCAAATTTTTATCTTTCACTTAATGCTAAGAGAAGTTAAACAGAATCACATAGAAAAGACAATGCTTTCCTTTATTTTCTAAAAGGTATCAACTTTATCCACATCTTTATAATTGTTAAAATATATGCAACAGAATATTGCATTTGAGGGAAAATAACTCAAAACTGTCTTACGGAAGCTTTGTAGTTACTGGGAAATCAAAACACTCAGGTAAGACTTTCTTTTTAAAGAGAAAGTCACTCATAAATACAAGAAATAATACAAAATTATTAATACAGGCCCATAGAAGAAATTTCAGTGTTATTTCTTAGGAAATAAATTTATGAAAAAAAAAAAAAAGAAATTCCTTCAAACTGCTTTAAAATGGAAGAAAAACATCACAATATAAAATAAGGATATATAACATAATATATGTTACATATATTCATGTTTACAGCTTAGTTTCTAAATTTTAATAAAATGAAAATCTATTTAGTTACATAATCTATATAGACATAAGTGAAATACTTTCATAAATCAGAGTATATTTAATTCTCCCATTAGTGGGCCTCTAATTTTTCTGAAATCCTTAACATATTAACTATGTATCTGAACAAACAGAATTTTACTCAAGAGTCTAAGAAAGACCTCTGAGACATTTACTCCATTTTACTTTCTTGGAAAAGTGAACGGGTAAGTAGTTTAAACTTTGTAACTTAAATAGGACAATACACATGAAATTTCAGCAAAAATAGCAGAAAAAGACAAACAGAAATGTAATCTTTTCCTCCAACAGAATAAAATGAAAAAGAGTAATAAAATTCTCAAAAAAAAAAAATTACCATGTGGAATTTTAGCACAGTCTCCCTCAAAGCAGTTTCAAAAACAGAGGAACACAATTAAATGTACCCCATAACCTTTACTTTCATGGTAATATTACAGTTCTGACTTTCATTACATTTAAATGTCCTTTAAAAAAAATGAAACAAAATGTACTACTGACCTTTTCAAAAGGTCAAGTAACAATAATTCACTATTTCATTAAAGCACTAAAAGGTATTATGTAGTAACTTTAACCTAACGTTATAGACATCCCACACATAGGTGTAAGAACAATTTGGAATTCACACTTTACATGAAAAATAGAAGAACTATTCTACTATAGAAATCCGTGCTGTTATCTGAAAGAATAAAATTCCAAAGTCCCTTATTTGCAAAGCCCAGCCATTTTAAAAGGTCAAATAACATGTCACATGCCACAATACTTTCCTGATTCAAGAAAATGTGCAAAATTAGCCTTTTAGTTAAAGCATCTAGAAATATTAACTGTTCTCAAAAGACAGATTTTCCAGGCTTTCAGGGAACAGAAATACTAACAGTTGCCTAAACCCCCATCTCCCCATACATCATCCAGAAAAGCTACATTAATTAACATATTAAGAATAAATAAAACCACAAAAATCCCATGTTTTCAGCCAAAAGACAGGGTACACTATAAACCTCAAATTAGCTATAGGAAGAAAAATATAAAGCACTTTCCAACAGAACCTACTCTAGAACTCCCACAGCAACTATTTTTAGACTGCTTGGAAGGTCAGGAAAAAAAAAAAATGCATGGGAGAGAGACTGGGAGGAACGAACAAGTATAAAAAAAATAAATAAATAAATAACAAGCTCTGGTAAATCAGAACACTGACCTACAAAGAGAAGACTTAATGTGAACACAAAAGCCAAGGAGCCAGTCCTGGGAAAGAATGCTTTAGCGGTAGAAGATAGGAGAAAAAATAGGTAGAGACAACTTTTGGAAACTGCGTACTAGGAGGTAAAAGAAGAGTAGGAAACTTAGGCTCTTATATGAGTAAATAAAAAAAAAAACTCCTTCCCACCCAGCACTCGCCAACATGTCATCCATTAAATAAATTACACTTTGCTTCCCCAACAGAAGAGGGTATTCTTAAACTAGGAATTTTATAAACTATTGCAAACAGCCAGAATGTCCATGAATACAAAGATACTGTCTTCATCAATGCAAAGCTACTATGAAACAAAGAAAAAGAGACTCACAACATTTCAGGTGATAACAGATCCCATGCAAACAAAACCCAGAAACCATAAACAAATTATAATAATAAATGAAATAAATGAGCATTTGTATCAGACATTTTAAAATGAAAATGAGAAATTATACTTTTAAAAATGAAAAGGAAGAAATGAATGAGCTGAATAAACTCAGGGTGGAATGAAAATAAAGAAAAAGACAAAATTATGTGAAAGTGAAGGAATAAATTTTAAGAGTCCAAGGAAGAACAAAATTAAATACAAATGTCATAAAGGCAAAGAAAAAGCAAGAAAATTACCAAATGAGAAAATGAGAAAAAAACTAAAGACCATCAGATAAAAGGAGCTGAAGTGGAAAACAGACCCAAAAAAGTCCAGACTACATATAATTGGAGATCTTGGAAAGAAAAATAAAATAGTAGAAAAAAAATTTTAAAATATAATCCAAGTACACTTCCTAGAGATCCACATACCAAAAGGGTAAGAGGCCACATGATAAAAGTGACTCACAATGATCAACTCTGAGATATATCTTAATTAACAGACTTTCAAAATAAGTCCAAAGTCTCCAGGTAAAAGATCGAATATATAGGAAACAAAATATAATTGGAAACAGACTTCTTAAAGCAAATTAAAAAATGAAGCAAGAATGAAATAGAAAATGTTAAGAAACTGAAGAGAACTGCTTCTAGCCATTATGGAGTAAAGGGGGGCAGGATTTATCTTCCCTCCTTATTTAAAAATGGGACAAAACATATGAAACAATGATTTTCAGATATTAAACAGACAGTGATCCTTGAAAGAAGGGAAACAAATGTAAAAATGCCAAAAGTTATCTGTCTATGATGGGAGTATTTTCAGGCTGCAAGATAGAGATGGACAAACAATTAAGAACATAATATTCTCCCTGATTTGGGAAAAAACAGGTGATCAAGCGGAGGCCACCAATTGTACAATTCACAAGGTATAGTACCAAGCAGGAGAGAAATGCATGGAGAGTACAGAAAAATACAGAGAAACTCCAGCGAATTGCAGAGGATTCCTGACAAGGAGTCTTCATCAAGGAGTCTTCAGCTGAGTACTGCTTGCTCCATGGATATGAGGAAAACACCCAAAGGTGGGAATGTACAGGAACAGAGTCTGCAAAACAATCTCTAAGCTCATACAAGGCTGGGTATAGCCATGTTCCAACCAGCCAGCATGGAAACCTTGTAACATAAGAGCCATTAAATAGAGTGCTCAGAAGGTGTTGCTTCACTTGTAGAGCTTAATTACCTTAGAATGAAGTCTGCTCTGGGTCTACCTAGCAATGCTTAAAAGCTTAAAGTTTAAAATTACTTGGAAAGATCAAACTGTTTCCAAGTAATTTAACTGTAGCTCACAACAAATCTCAAGAATACTTACAGAATGAAAATATCTAGCATGCAACAGGTAGAATTCATTATGTCTAGTATACAATCAAGATATACCAAGCAAATACATTTCCTGCAAAGAAGCAAGGCAATCAATACCCACAATGAAGAGAAAAATCAAGAGAAACAGACCTAAAAATGGCAGCGATAATAAACCTGATCTTAAAAATTAAAACAATTATATTTCATACGTTCAAAAAGGTAAAGGAAAACAAGTGTACTAAATAGAGACAGGAAAAATTTAAAGAAAGACTCTCTCAAAAAACACAATGTTTGAGATTTTTTTTTTAATATAGTATCAACAGCAGATTCCACCTTACAAAAGAAGGTATTAGTATACCTGAAGACATATCCCAAATAAAGAGAAAGACACTGAGGGCAAAAAAAGTGAACAGACCATGAGTGAGTTGTGAAAACTTAAAGTGACCTAAATGCACATGTTTGGAGTCCCCAACACAGAGGACAGAAAAGGAGGAACAAAAAAAAAAAAAAGAATAGAAAAGAAAGAAAAAATAACGGCAGATGTTTTTCCAAATTAAATGAAAATATATACTCACAGATCCAAGAAGCTCCACAGACCTTATGGAGGAAAAACATGAAAAAAGCTACACCAAGGTACAACACACATCAAAGTGACTGAAACCAATGACAAAAAGAAAAATCTTAAAAGCAGCCAGAGGAAAAAAATATTCTATTTACCTAGGAACAAAGAAAAGAGCAGAGATTTCTCATAGAAAACAGTGCAAGACAGTGAAGTAACATCTTTACAGTATCAAAAGAGACAAAATTGTATAGCTGATAAACCAATAGTGCATTAAAAAATGGAATCCTAATACTATTTTAAGGCAGATCATGATAGATTTAATATGTGTATTATAAACCCTTTAAGTAACTAGTTAAAAAACAAAAAACAAACACACAGCCAATAAACAGGCAAAGGAGATAAAACAGAATTATAAAAAAGAATTCCAATAATACAAAATACAGAAAAATAGGAAAAAATTAAAAACATGTAAGACAAACAGAAAACACACAGCAAGAGTAGATTTAAATCCAACCATATGAATAGCCATGTTAAATGTAAATAGTCTAAATACCCCCAAGTAAAAGGCAGTGACTATCATATTGCATAACAAAGCAAAGCACAGAAGAAACACACTTCAAATAGTAAAACACAAATAAGTTTAAAACAAAGAAGATAAACCATGGTAACATCAATCAAAAGAAAGATGGAATCTATATGTTAATATTGGAAAATACAGATTTCAGAGAAAACATTATTACTAAAGATAAGAAAGGTCATTTCATAAATCTAAAGGAGTCAATTCATCAAGAGTGCTTAATGGATCTAAAAGTTTATGCACCTAATAACAGAACTTCAAAATATATGAAGCAAAACTGATAGAAATTAAATAGAAATTGAAAAATCAACAACGATTGTTGGAGATATCAACATCCCCTCTCACTAACTGATAGAAAAAGCAGACAAAAAGTCAGTGAGCATAGTGCTACCCAGTGAGGGCCTGGGTAGCACTCTGAAACAATTTGACCTAATATATAATTTTCTACCCAATAGCAACAGAATATTCATTCTTTAGAGTACACACAGTATATTCACCAAGATAGACTATATTATTGGTCATAAAATTAAGGCTCAATAAGTATTTTAAAAATTCAAATCATACAAGTTATATTCTGTGACCAAAATGAAACTAAATTATAAATCAATAACAAAAAGATATCTAGAAAATCCTCAATATTGAGAAAGATAATCATATTTCTCAGTAAGCCATAGATCAAAGAAGAAATTAAAAGGCATTTGGAACTGAATAAAAACAAAACTACAGCACACCAAAATTTGTGTGACATAGCTAAACCAGTATTCAAAGGAAAATTTAAAGCACTGAATATCTGTACTAGAACAAAAGAAAGATCAATTATCTTCCATCTGAAGAAATCAGGAAACTTAAGATCAAAAAACTTTCCAGATAGAAACATAAAAATAATAGAAAAAAAATCAACGAAATTAAAGGCAGCTTCTTTAAAGAAATCAGTAAAATTTATAAACCTCTATCTAGATGTATCGGGGGAAAAAAAGGAGACATAAATTACCTATATCAGATGAGGATGAAAGGTATTTTTAACTTATATCCCTAAACTATTTGACACTCCTACCTCTAGGAGTTGGTGCCTAATTTCCCTTCTTTTGAACACAGACTAAGACACTTGCGTCTAAAAGAATAAAGCAGAAGTAAATATGCGTGACTTCAGAGACTAAGGGATTAAAGACAATGTGCATCTTTATTGATCTCTCTGTTGTATCACACACTCAGGGAAAGCTAGCTGCCATGTTGTGATAACAGCCAAGCAACACTATAAAGATCCATGTAGTGAGGAACTAAGGCCTCCTGTTAAGAGCAGTAGCAAACTGAGGCCTCATGGCTAATAGCTACGTGAATGAGCAATCTTGGAAGCAAATCCTTCACCTCTAGCTTGACCAGCTGGCAGCCCAGGACAGCTCTGAATGCAGCCCAACACAAATTCGTGAACTTTCTTAAAACATTATGGGATTTTTGTGATTTTTTTTTTTTAGCTTATCAGCTATCATTAATGTATTTTATGTGTGCCCAAGACAATTCTTCTTCCAGTATGACCCAGGGAAGCCAAAACATTGGACACCCTGTTTTAGATCATCAAAGTCTTGGCAAATATCTTGACTGCAAAATCATGAGAGATTTTGATCAAGAACTACCATCCAAGTTGTTCTCAAATTTCAAATCCACAGAAATAGTGAGACAATAATTGTTTTTGTTTTAAGCCACTAAGGTTTGAAGTAAATAGCAGCAAAAGACAACCAACATAGAGAGTTTCATTACAGACACTAAAGACATTAAAAGGATAATAAGGATAATAACTTTAAGCCAATAAAATCAGAAACCTAGATGAAACTAACAAATTCATTGAAAGACACAAACTACCAAAGCTCACTCAAAGGAAAGAGAAAATCTGGTAATAGAGACAACACCTAAACCTGATTATATATTAGGTCACAGGAAAAAATACCAGTAACTTCCATGGAGACTTTTTTTTTTAATAAACAATACTGTCTAATTACAATACAAGAAAAATTAGAAATCAGCAACAAAACTAAAAACCAAAAAGGACGTTCCACGAGAAAATTTTTAAAACCTATTAAGGTGCATAGTAAATTGACATCATATAGCTTCTAAGAAAGGTGGTGACAAGACTACATGTCAGCATCTATAGGATACTTTTGAAACAGTGATGAGAGGAAACGCAAAGCCTTAAAAACTTATATACATAAAACCTGCTCACTGGCCAAATCTGGGACAATTCGAGGATCAAAATAATGATTATAATCAAATAATTTTTTAAAAAGTCCATGCATCCATTCTAGTATAATTAAATAAATGAGAAAGCAGGCAATGTTACTCCTTATAATAAATTGCCACTTCATAAATACAGAAATGACAAGAGTTAGAAAATCATCATTTGGCAACCATGATAGTAACAGTCGAACCAAGTAAAAGTCAATGGATGCTAAAACTCGAGAATGTGTGTGAAAGTTTGATGCCTCAGAGTACCTCCCCAAAAATACTTACGAATTACAAAAGGAGACTCTGGCAGATGACAGCTTAACCAGGTGATCAAAGTTAACATCATTAATAATGGAACCAACCAGGTAACCTCACAAGCCTTAAGAAGGACAAAACAATCTTTCTGTAGTTTCCCTGCCAAAAATGCATTATGTGATATAGTGAGGAAATATCATTCAAACCCAAATTGAGATACAATCTACCTAATAGCCAACCTGTACTCTTTAAAAATGTCAAGCTTATAAAAAACACAGACTGAGAACTGTTCCAGGTTAGATATGACAACTAAATGTAATGCGGGATCTTAACGACAGATGGTAGGGGATGGGGGGTATAAAACATACAACTGTATCATAAACAAAATTTGAAATATGGACTCTTAGACAACAGTATATCATTAAATATCCTGATTTTGATCATTGTACTGTGGTTATGTATGAGTGTGTCCTTGTTCTTATGCAATTTATGCTCAAGTATTTGGGGATAAAAGGGAACTATGCCTGATTTAACCTCAAATGGTTCAGGAAAATAATGTGTACACGCGCCCACCCACATACATATACTTAACAACGATCAATCAAATTGAGAAAATGTAAACCGGTGAATCTAGGTAAAGGGTATACTGGAATTACTTGTGCTGTATATCCTTGCTAGTTTTCTGTAAATTTGAAATATACACAAAATATTTTTAGACACGTAAAATGTTCAGATTAAGATTTAAACAAACTGCTAAGACAGGTACAAATTGGAACTGTAGCTACAGCAATGGTCATAAAAAACTTTCATCTAATCTCAATTCTAATGGCTGCACTTGCTTTCTAAGAGGCCTTAGCAGACATAGACATACATAATAGTATTTGCCTTAAAGTGCCTAAAATTAGGTATAACATGATTCCTGTAAAAAAAAAACATATATATAACTTAATAATTTTTCCACTTTTCTAAATGTTGTCTAAAAGAGAATCATATTTTCAGCTAGGTAATTCAAGAAGAATACTTCTAATTGGAGAGGGAAACGTGGATTAACTTTTTTCCATATGGAATAATGAATTTTAACCTCTACTTTGTATGATGGTCATATGGTAATTCCACATATACTCAAAGACTATGCGTGATGTCGGGAAGCGGGCACAAGTTTGGTGTAATGGTCAGAAAGGAAAAGTTTACACTCAAAATGCTAACCTAAGGTACTCTGGTGCAATGTAGAGTGAAAAAAAATCCAGGACTGAACTGCGTTTAAGGGATTCTGATGTCATCATCAGCAAATAACGTCTCCGGTTTCCCATACCCTGATTTCTTCAGTTAGAAAACGGGAATGATGATTCTTTTAAAAATTTCTGCCTCAAAGGGCTGAGGATTAAGTGAGCTATTTACCTGGAAAGCGCTTTGTAAACTTTGAAACCCTACACATGTGTTAGGATGTGTAATAAACTCCGTAAGAGAGGCCACTGGAATCAGCAAAGGTAATTAATTCCATTGCTGTCATGCTTCTCCTAAAAAATACTGTAACTGTGGGTGTTCAGGTACATACGACTTGGCAAAGGGCCAAAATAAGGTTTTCTTCCCAAATATTCTTTCTACAGGAAACACGAATATGATTAGCCCAGATTCCCGGGTGAACTCATCAACATCCGTGGAGCTGAAGAGTGTTAAAATCGAGTTAGGTCAAAATTTACCACCAAAAAAAAAAAAAAAAATACGGGACACAACGAAGAAGGAAGCCAAACTCGGAAGGGCGAGGGAGAGAGGAGGCGTGGCCCCAGCCCCGCTCCACGCCGCGCGCCTCCTAGCTCCTCATACCGCGCGGAGACCACAGGGGTGGCGGCGTTTCTCAAACCTTCAGTCTCTCAAGAGCCGTTACGCGCCGCCCTTCTCAATCCCCTCAAGTCTGGGCCCCTAACCTCCTAGCCTGTCACAGACTTCTGCGCGCAGTTACGCTGCAAGAGGCTCTCTTAGCTACAGAGCAACCACTGGGCGGGTACCTGAGCTGAGATGAATCCCTCATACACGGTTTTCGACCGGTTCTGTGGCAGAAGCAGCGGGCACTGGCGCAACAGGCTCGCTTCCGTCACCGCCATGGCTCGAAGTCCGGGGAGACACAGCAAAGCTCTAGACCTGCTGGGTCCTGCACATGCGCAGTCCGCTTGCGCTTGGACGCCGCGGAGCGGAAACCCGAGCCTTGGCGGGAAGATCCTGGAGGATTCCGCGGGCGGAAATGAAGGTAAAGCGCAGGCCAGGCCAAGTGGCGCTCTGCCGGAGGCAACATCGGGGCTCCCCAACCGGTAGTGAGAGGGAAGATTGCGCTCAAGTCCGCCGGACTGACTGACCAACGTCATTCTAACCTCGATTGTCCCAGGAGCCCTTTTGATGATTCTGTTTGACTTTGTTGAAAGACTGTTACAACTTTGGTGTTACATTTCCTCCAGAATAAAATGACTTTTACAGCCTGGACATTGTAGCACTTCTGTCTTAAACCTCTCGCACCCCCTTCTTTGCTGTTGTCCTCTCTACCTTAACATACAGAATAATGTATTATTTTGTGTATCATGATAGTAATATGTATTATAACACATTCATTATATCATACATTACAGTTCTGTAGCTTACTAAGTTTAATCAGATATATTTGAGACACACTCACGTATATACGTGTATATGTATTGATTAGACTCAAGTCAACAGTGGACTCAGTTCTGTGTATGGCACTCACAAATACAAAAAGCAAAACATGAGTGAAGACTGCTGATGGACTTGAACTTAATTTTCCTCTGACAGCCCTTGCAATACGTTTTTCTAACTCAGAAATGTTATCCGTCCCATCTTATTGAGAGCTGATTAAATAAGAAACTTACTAAAATATTTACCATATGATTATTTGATTTTCCAATTTTCCAGTGCATCACGTATTTGAGCCCTACTATTTGAAAAACATCATTGTAATGTGCCAAAGGTTGTGCAAAGATCGTTTTGTCCCCTACCCAACTTTATTGCCCTCAAGACAGAATTTGACATCCTGAAGATTCTTAAAGTTTGACAAGAATTGTCGCAGCATTCTGGATGCTTACAGAAAAGAATGCTGCAGCAGTGGTTAGATATAAATTACATTAAAGCAGTGGTTCTCAAAATATGATCCCAGAACCTAGCAACAGCATCACCTGGGGACTATGTAGAAATATAAGTTTTCACTGCTGATGGGGTTCAGGATATGCTACCCCAAAATATGGTTCCTTGACATTTGAGAAAAACAGCAAAACCTAAGATCACTCTCTGACCGTCTCCCATCCTTCTTCCCTGAGGCGGGTGATTGGATCCTCAATCCAGAGGTGCTCTTCCTATACCCACAGGAAAGAAATATCCTTATCTCTAAAGAAACAGGGACTTAGAAAAGAATCTGAACAAAAAGACTTTTGACAGCTTACCCCAGTTTATTGCTTTGTCCAACCGTACTTCCCCACAACGCACAGGTTTTCCTGTTTCTTTGGGCTTCATTTCTGAAGGCTCCCATGCCACATAAAACTTAAGTAAATTTGCATGCTTTTCTCTTATTAATCTGTCTTTTCTTATAAGGGACTCAAACAGGAATCTAGTTACAGGAAAGAAAGATGTTTCTCATTCCCTACAGGACCCTATTTCAAACCTCGGGAATCCCAAACTCTGGGAATAAGGCCCAGCAGTCTGTGTTTTAACAGGCTCTCCAGGTGATTCTGATGCTTGCTAAGGTTTGAGTATCTCTGCAGGGTCAGGACGTAACACCTGCTTTATTTTGCAACTCGGTGATTAAGGATGGCCATGCTACATTTTTTCTAATAAGAATAAAGTAAAGGCTGCGCAAAAGTGGGATCAACACAAAGATTAAGAGGACATATAGTCCCTTACATTAAGCACCTTATAATTTATCTGTAAATTAAGACCTTTATTGTATCCAGTACCTTAAGCTTCCCCACCACCACAGTTTCCCCCGTGGAACTTCTACCCTTTCTGGAAAGTTCTTCTCAAGTGCTATGTCTTTTTGGAAACCTTTTTGAATCTTCTGAAAATTATTGTTCTCCCTAATCATTTATCATATTTCCTGTTGCATTGTAGGTGCTAATAAATTATTTACTAAATATCTTAATTTGGGTTGTTATAACAGAATACCATAAACTGGATAGGTAATCCACAGAAATTAATTTCTCAGTCATGGAGACTGAGAAGTTCAAAATCAAGATGCAAGGACAAGATTTGGTGTCTGGTGAGGAGTCATTTCCTAGAACACAGTCTTTTGGCTGTGACCTTGCATCACACTCACCTTTACCACTGATAGTCTGCACAGTGTAATCACTTGCCAAAAGCAGTTGACTCCTTGATTCGGAATCCCCATAACTAGGTTATTAGACTTAAAGCTTTCCAGAATATTTATTGCTAATTTATCATCTTAGTTTTTAAAGAAAAGATATCCAAGTCACTGTTATTGGTAATTGAACTTGTAAATGAGCATTCCTTATCAATAAAATCTATAATTGAAGAAATCCAACGACCAGGGAACAAGGTAAGATACCATATAAAGATTTTTTAATTCAATTACTCGACTATTATCCTTAGGTGTTCAAGACTGAAAGTTGGATACTCACTACCATCATCAATTCATATGTGGTATGCTGGAATCATTGTCTATATATAGCCCATTTGAAGTCAGCCACCCCAAAATTTAAAAAAAAAAAAAAAAAGAATGCTCAATATGTTTAAAGATCAGAAAGCCAAGCAACTACTTCTACCACCATCAGCATGATTTCCATTTTGGAATCACTCTGACAAACTGCACGAAGACCCTCATTAAAGTTCAAGTTCCACAAGATATGCTAGACAGGATTTCATTTATATACTTTGCCACCAAAATTACTACTATTTAAATGCTATTGCCTGAGGAAGAACTGTATATTCTAACACAGAAAAATATCCAAACATTTTGATAAATAAACAGCACAAATTCCAGAATGGTATGCTTACTATTACAACATTCATATTCAAATAAATAAGTAAAGTCACACTATATTACTAGGAATGGTTACTTTGGGGGATGGAGATGAGAACAAAGAATGGGGATAATGACCCTTGGAGACTTTTATCTTTTATATTTTAATTTTTTAAAGGAGAATTATTCGTCTTAAAATTAAAAATTAAAATTTAAAATGCTTATACCACTCCAATTAGCATCTGTCATCCCTATTACATAGCCCAAATGTTCAGCTATGTCCCAAGAGTTTCTTCTCCCAGTTCCCACTAGTAATGGAAGAAGATAGGATGCCTGCCATTAACATTAATAAGATTAATAAGGGAGAAATTGTTTGAGTCTGCTGAGAAGAGAGATGAAGGAAGAACCTTAGGAAATGTGAAAATCAAGGGAAAATGAAAACTAGGAGAAAGTAGAGGAAGAATAGCCATTTAAAAGTTTTCAAAAAAACTGAAAAAGCAAGCCAATAATATCCTATTCTCTACAACACTGTGTCATAGAATGGAAAAGACAGCAAATATTCAAGATTAAGGTAGGATCAGGCGTGTAAAATGCTACCTAAAGGTTGAAAAAAATTGAGAATTATAGAAAGGCCTTTGGATTTGATCATGCAAAAGCATTTATTAATTTGAAAGATCAGTTTGCTCTTGCTTTTTTCTATCCAGACACTAAATAGCAGTTTATAAATTGTGATGTAGTGAATAATTTTTCAGCCTTGAGAAGAGCATATTCATAAGAAATAAACTACAAAGACTTAATTATGTGACCAAAGTTTGGTACAGTGATATATGAAGAAGATAATCTGGCTCCTACAACCCTACCCCAACTCTTTTGGAGCACACTCCCTTGGTAGGTAGGTTTTACCGACAATGAGTCTAGATCCATTGCGTACAGAATAACAACTTCTGCTTCACTCTGAGCTGTAGACTTGAGGAGCAATGATACCCACAACCAACCACAGGTAAACAAAAGACCATTTAAGGGTTAAGTCTGCTAAAAGAGTTGATGGGTTACAAAGATTAGGCTGGAATCAGAAGAATATTTATAGGGTCATCATCTAAAGAAAGGGTAAGAAGGTAAACAGGCTGTTCAAAAGTATAGAAGAATCCAGATTATTAAACAACCCTCTTCTTAGCAAAGTACAAGGACCCTCTTCCCAGGAAACATCATCCCCACACCCAGCGAAAGCCACTGATTAGAGAGATTAACAGCTCTTTTGTACTTTTTAATGAGCAACTGGGATAAATGTCCTCAGATTACTAGCATCTAACAAAAATTACAACTCAGGAAATAAATGTTGCAGTTGACAGTGGCAGAATAGAAGAGACCTATTTACAGGGGGGTGCAAACTTGAAAAGGCCACAGTTGTAGAGGTTAGGAGAAAAAAGAGAATAATAAGTACATAGGATTAGAGAAGAGTAGTTGTTAAGAGGAGGATGAAGGATGCAGCAAGAGAAATCAAAGGGAAAAATTACTGTATGCTTATTTTGAAATTCTGCTTGAGGCTAATCAATCCCACTTGCCCGAAGACACCAAAAGGAAAGCAATTCCATCCCTGAGAAAAGGACTTTCTACATCCAAAGAGGAAAGAAGATGCACAAATCCCTCACTTTTACTCTGGAAAACTCGAGCTAATAGATCAAAATGAATGAGAGGAAACAGATTTAATCTTACTCATTCTCAATAAAAGTTTTCAATACTGTCCCTAAACCATCAAAATCATTTTAAAAGATTTTAATATATAGGTGCCTAGATGATGCTGAAAGGTTATCAAAAGTATGATCTCTGGACCAGCAGCATCGGCATCACCTTAAAAGAACACACCAACTCAGATCTACTGGATCTCTCATTTCAGGAAGAAGAGTTCAACAATCTGTTTTAACAAGTATGTGTGTAACAAATTCATGGGCCAGGTGTGGTAGCTCATCCCTATAATCCCAGCACTTTGGGAGGCCAAGGCAGGCAGATCACTTGAGGTCAGGAGTTTGAGACCAGCCCGACCAACATGGCGAAACCCCATCTCTACTAAAAATACAAAAATTGACCAGGCATGGTGGTGCACTCCTGTAATTCCAGCTACTCAGAAGGCTGAGGCACAAGAATCCCTTGAACCCGGGAGGCGGAGGTTGCAGGGAGCCGAGATCATACCACTGCACTCCAGCCTGGGTGACAGAGTGAGACTCTGTCTCAAAATAAAAAATAAAAAACAAAACAAAATAAAAATTTATGTTTTAATTAGGCAAATCTGATACAAGCTAACACCACTACCCTAGACTTAGTAAACCTAAATTCTCATGTCTGATTCTATTGTGCTGCTATAATTGAAAGTCATTGCATTAATCAAATGAATAATTGTTCAGACAGAAGTTTTACAGTGCCAAACTCAGAGTTAGCCTGGCACATAGTTAAGGCTTAGAGGATATCGGCTAAATGAATGTAGTTTGTTAGTGTCGAA